GGTAGGTAGGTAGGTAGGTAGGTAGGTAGGTAGGTAGGTAGGTAGGTAGGTAGGTAGGTAGGTAGGTAGGTAGGTGAGAAAAAAATAAAAAATATATACAGAATAAATAAATAACTTGTCGAACCCCATCTCAAACTTAGTTTATACTAAACCAGTGATAGTTTTTGAAATGTTTAGTTTTTACTAGTATGAATATTATGTATACAGTATCTGTAGTTTCCATTCCAACTTGTAAAAATATCAATCAGGAAAGGTATTCTTGGTATCAAATGTTAATTAAAGATGCTGTGTTTAATTATATGCTACAGCAGTCTGCTATAAGCAGAGAGCAAATTATCCTGCAGTGACATCAGTAACATGCTGACTGACACACAACATCTATCAGAACTCATCAACTCTTTGAACACTTGGTCCTGGCAGAATTTGATAGATGAATGTGGATTCAGAGTTTTTAGGTGGTGAACTGTGAACTCAAATAAACTCAGTTTAATTTGAAGTCAGATGAACTGGCTGGTGTCAGGTGAACTTGAACAACCTTTGTGCTCATAGAATGAGTTGCAGGGTTAGGTCTGGATCTATAAAATGACTGACTTTTATTCAGATGGCTGTGTCAGCCATCTTGGATTGGATTGACTCAAAAAGTCAACCAGTGGTTGCTGTTCATTAAAATCTGTTTTTGTTTACTCGTTTGCAGCTGGCCAAGGCTCTGCTCCTGCGTTACCACCCTCTGTTCTCTGCACTGACTGACAAAGTACAAACTCATCTAAATCCCATCCATTTTATTAGTCTGTCACATGTTGTCATTCATTTGACCTTTGACCCTCTTTTCATAGCTCTTCTCGTTGCTGGATGATCCTGATCTGGGTTTGATGGCGGCAGACAGCTTTTCTCTGCTGATGAGCGACACTGTGGACGTCCTGAACCACAGCTGCCACGCAGACATACGCCTCATGTACCGCCAACGCTTCTTCAGTGTAAACTCAGCCAAGCTGGTCCAGGGCTTCAGTGCTGCTCCGCAAGGTAGGAGGTCAAGACCGTGTGTGTGTGTGTGTGTGTGTGTGTGTTCTTGTATTTCTATCCTTCTTGAGGCCGCGGCCAGTAAAAACACCTTCTATTATTGGGACCGATGGACAACTTAGGACCATAATCATAGTCCTAATATGGAGGACCATTGCAAAAGATAGAAAATGGCATTTTAGCATCCCTAGTGGTGAAATTTACATGGACCTAAGTAGGGCTGCAACGATTAATCGATTAATCGACAACTAATCGATTATTAAAATAATCGATGACTAATTTAATAATCGATTAATCGTTTGTTTGTTTTTGTTCTTTACTTTGTTTTTCTCTCCAAACTGCTTTGACACCTTCCACTGCCACATCTGCCTTTCTGTCCTTGACACACATGTACAGTAGTGGTAATTGGGGTAGGTCGTGGACGTCACAAGACATTATACAGACAGGCTCTTGTAGGAGGTGAGCTTAAGGCGGCATTAAGCTTCTCCCACATCTCTCATACACAAGGTTATGAG